TGCCCGTTACAGACACAGGCCGGATGAACGCTGAGAATGCAGAAGGTGCCGGATGGCTCCGGCTTCCACTGAGGGCTTTCCCTCTGGTGGCCGTGGACCTCACAGGCGCTGACCCCACGCACGAGCTGACCCCTGGTACACGGGGAGGGAGAGCCACAGGCACGCACGTGCACGTCACGCACGGAGCGGATGGGTTAGAACCTCGGTCGGCAAACTGCGGCTCGCGAGCCACACGCGGCTCTTGAGTGGGGCTCTCCCACAAAATGCCACGGCCTGGGCGAGCCTATTTTGAAGAAGAGGCTTAGAAGACGTTTACGTTTAAAATATTTGGCTCTCCAAAGAAATTTCAATCGTTGTCCTGTTGAAATGAGTTTGCCGACCACTGGGCTGGAGCACCGCCTGTGGAAAAGATTGGTGCTCCTCAGGCTGTTTCCGTCTGCCGGCCTTCGCTTTCCACCCGCAACGCTTCACGGACATGAAACTCTGCAGCTTATTTTCCATTTTCCAGGTGAGGTTTCCCCCCCGATTAAAAGGTAGAAATAATGTAGTCGCCACACGTGAAAGGGAAAGACGCTTACAGCTGTCCGGGATGCTGCGGGCGCGTTTTCCAAGGATCCTATCTTAAAATATACAGATTCTGCTCATCGTAAGATGAAGAGCTGGTGGCAGAAATTTTATCCCACTGGCTGAAATATATAAATCATGAATTTCATAATACTGATAATTAAATGTCCGTCTTCCCATTTAAATGCAGACTAGATTAAAACTGCACAGAGAAGGCTGATATTCAGAAAGCATTAATTATTTTTAATTGCTTTGTGCTCTCCCGGTCTGGTGTCGGTTCCATGGCTCACACACGGCTCTGTTCCCGATAAAGTCCTCCTCTGCTCTGCACGCCAGGCCCGGGCCGAGCGGGGGACCGATGGGCTCAGACTCGCCCACGCTTGCACGCTTCCTGGCGACGGCATCTTGAATGGGGACTGGGTTTTAAGAGGGAACAGCTGCAGAAGGTAATAAGCTGGCTTTTCCAGCAATCAAAAAAGAAAACCAAAAAAAAAAAAAATGCACATGCATATACATACATACACACACACACACACGCCCCAGGCCGGTTCCAGGTCATGGCTGTGGTCTGGGGCCACTGTGCCCCATCACTCTCCAACGTGATGATGTGGTGGATAAAGCATGTGGTCAGCCTAACGCCAATGGGTAAGTGGACATGTCAGCACGGGATCTGCCCCCTGACTCAAAGGGAAGGACACGGAGGCCCACAGCTCCCCGCTGAGGCTGTGAAGCCTCGGGGGTTTGCACGGCGGCTCCTTCTGAATCCGCAGGTATGTGGGGTTTCCAGGGTGATTACCTGCCTGTCTTAATATGCATGTGCTTAATTTTACTACTTTAAGCTACCGTGTCCATTTTCCAAAAGGGAGAAAAATAGGTTTTCTTTTGCAAACATTCTTCACTTGGGAATAGAAATCAGTCGATAACCAGCACCCCACAGTCACCGGCTCATGAGGTGAAAGCTGTCACAGACGGACAGAGACATTCCTGGGGGAAAGGCAGAAGCCTCTGCTGCGGGCTGGGTGCCCGCACAGGGGTGTCCCTCAGGCTGGACAGGAGGGGGCGCCTCCTCCCTGAGGACCCCGAGGTACGTGACACTCAGCACAAGGCGACATCTTACTCAACTCTCAAACATCTTCGGGTCACCTGAGCGGGTCCCCCTACGTGATCGCTCAGGTGGATCATTTAAAAAAACATTATATATTTTTACTGATTTCAGAGAAGAATGGGGAAGGAGAGATAGAAACATCAATGATGAGAGAGGATCGTTGACTGGCTGCCTCCTGCATGCCCCCCACTGGGGATGGAGCCAGAAGCCTGGGCATGTGCCCTGACTGGGAACTGAACCACAACCTCCTGGTTCATAAAGCAACGTTCAACCATTGGGCCACACAGGCCAGGCTCAGGTGGACTTTTAAACTCACTGAAAAAGTCCAGCTCCAGCTATCATGGCATCGGGCATCAGGCACCGGGTGGTTTTGCTATTCGCTGCCCCTTGGGGGCCTCCTGACAGGGAAGGTTCAGTAAAAGGGACAGCCAGCTTGATTCTTGCTGTCTGTACGGAAGCTGCCCTGGCCCAGCACCGAATCCAGACTCCCCCCTTACCCGCGGCTGCGCCCTAAGTTCCTGGCCCAGGTTTTTGTTCACACTTACTTTTTCACTCCCGTTTTTATTTTGTTACATGTATTTCGAGCTACCTTCAATCTTTCCGGAACAAAGGAAATAGATACGAATACATGTCCAGACATCTAATCATCTACAAATTCTAAGAAAGAAAAGGCAGAATGCCATCATTTGGGACTAAACTAGAAGACGTTTCAGGAGAGATAAGATATTCTTAAAAAGAAAACTAACAGCCACGGAGAGTCCACCCCATACCCCTCCGAAGAATAACCTTCTGCACACTGACCTCCCAGGGGAAGTTCCCAGAGGAGGCAGTGTGGGGACTGCCATTCCGATCGGGGCACACGGTGGTGAGCGAGGCCAGCTCCTCAGGGTCTCAGCAGGAGCCGAGTCCTCCCCACCTCTGAGCGCAGGAGAAAAGCTCAGGCCCGACCACGCAGAGCAGCTGACAGGTTTGGGCAGACCACGCGCAGGGCCCCGAAAGGCTGACGGATACGCACACAGACTGGCAGAGCCTCGCAGACATGGAATGAGCTCACAGGAGGTGGTGGCCCGAGGCTGCAGGCCCTGGAGGGGCGATTCCGGGTGATCCTCTGCCCCAGGTCACAGAGGGCATCCCTGGGCGTGTGAGGCAGACCCCGGCTGAAGGCCTGCCTCCCACCCTCTCCCTCCCCTAAGGAGCCGCTCTGAGCAGCGTCTTCCCTCTGCAGGTGGCATGGGTAGATGTCTTAGTGAAATTCCGGCATGCCCTTGGGAAAACATTTCAAAGTAAATATTACTTTACTGACCACATGTACAAATTAGATGTGGGCTGCTTTTGCAAATTCTAGTTACACTGTTTGGAAATCTACTTATGTTAGGAAGGACTGCAAACTAATCAAGTATTTTCAGGCACGAACCAGCCCCCAGGATTCTGCACCAAAGGCGCAGGCCGTGAGCATGTGCAGAGCTCCAGCTATCATGGCATCAGACATCAGGCACCGGGCAAGGGCTAAGGCCCAGGGCACACGCTGCCTTGACTGTTTTTGGAATAAACCGCTGAAACCTTAACTTCGTGGTACCCCACGGAGAAGTGGCACTCGGAGCCAGATCCTGCTCGTGTGGGGGAGGGCGGTCTCTGCCCCTTCCAGCCAGAACGCCGCGGGCAGGCAGCCGGGGTCGGCGGGCAGGCTTCCCAGCGGCACCGCGGCTGCCCGGTGCTGAGCTTGCAGCCTCCGGAGCCAGCGGGTCCTGCGGGTGTTTCTGGCAGCATCACCACAAAGCATTCCTGGGCCCGGCAGAGCGGGGTTTGGTGCCTGCAGCCGCCGAGGCCCGAGCTGCCTGCTGCTCTGGGCTGCAGCCTCCCAGCTCCCTCTGCTTGGGAGATAAAACCCAACTGCCTGCCGTTTAAGTAACTGTAACAGGAAGCTGCTGAATGGCTTCTCCCGTGTTTCGAGGCCGTTGCTGAGCGAACAGCTGAAACGAACCCAGACAACACCTCATCAAAGCCAGGCGAGGAAGCGCGGCCCGAGCACACGGCGCTCCTGCCCGCCCGGGAGCCTTCGCTCTGGGCCCTTTTCCACAGGAACGCCAGCAGCTGGGAAAGCCATCAGAGAGCCCGAGGGGGGCAGCGGGCGCGCTGCCCGGAGGTTTGCAGGCTGGAGGGAGCCGTCCTCGGCTCCGTCTGAGCCTCCACACGTGCCTGCGGAGCGAGGTCCCGCCGGAGCCCGGAGCTGCTCCCCAGGAGGCGCCTGGGGACACGGGTGGCTCTTCCACAAAACAGGCCGTCCTTCCAGCCGGCCATGCTCCTGTGGCCTCTGCAGACAGAGCCGCCGCACAAGCGCAGCTACCCCTGGAGATGCTGTTCTCAGATACGTCCCCCCCTCCCCCCGGCGCCTGGCTCCGGGCGTGCAGCCAGGCCCTGAGCCCGGGACACCCCTGTCCTCGCCTCTCCCAGCAGGTGCGCCACCCAGAAATGGAACAACTGGCTTTTGCTCTTACCTCCAAACCATTAGGCAGTGATCATAACGAGAAAAACGAATACTGACACGAATTACACCATTGTTCTCCTGCGTCTATTTAGTAACCCGAGGTTGAATTTTTAGAGGACAGATTACCTTTTAAATAAGCGGTTCATTACGGAACATGAGGGAATGCCATGTTCCGTGTTCAGAGTGCCACTCACCATTAAGGGCGTGCGCTGGGAAGTGGCACTGATTGGCCACTTCCCCCTCAGACAGACACCCCGACGGGGGGCCCGGGATAAGCGAGGGGAGCAAGCCACCCGCCTGCCAGGCACCTAATGAATCTCAGTCCCGTAACAAGGCTGAGTGCCCTCCCCGGTGACGGGGAGAGGAAAACCAGGACTGATGAAGTTCCTGCCAAGGAAACACTATCAATTTCAAGGCCGAGTTCAGAAATCACAGACTCCTGTGCGGGGTGAGGGGGCAGAGCTGGGCCTGGTCTCCCGCCCGCGTACCCTCTGTGAGAGATGAGAGGCGGACAGCCTGGATGCGGGCAGGAGACCAGGCCCAGCTCTGCGCTCCCCCCACCTCCCCCCGGGCCCCCTGGGAAACTCGCCCGGACCTGGCAGGTGAACAATGTGCTGCCTATTCTCCGGAAACCTCCCCTCAAGCCTGGGAAACCCACACGTTGTTTTTCATCATTAGTTTCAAAACACGCTGCGTATCGGCCCTCCTCCGAGCGCCGCGGAGACACGGGGGGGGGGGGGGGGGGGGGGGGAGGGCCCTGCTGGCTGCCGGGAACAGGCCCCGGCAGCGAAGAGGCGGCAAGATGGATGCCTGGAAGCTCGGAGGGAGGCGGCGCGGCCCACGTACCTGAGATGGCGTACAGGTTGGAGTGCTGGTACTCGTAGTCCGCCCGCGTGCTGTTCCTGCCCCGGAAGGTGGCCGGCAGCGTCAGGGAGATGTGCCTGGGGGAGACGGACACGGGAGGTTAGGGTGCAGGAAGCATTCCCGGGGCGCAGAGCGCACCGACACCATCGCCATCGGCAGCCCCCAGCAGCCCGGCGCGGAGTAGGCACTCCTGGCGAGCAGGCCTCCTCCTCCAGCCCCAGTTCCCCGAGGAATCCAGAAGGTTCCACACCGGGAAGGGCTTCGGAGAGGAAGAACGGGGCTCCCGGAGACGGCACGCCCCGGGAGCTCCGAGGAGGTGGGCAGCTCAGGCCAGGTCTCTGCCCACCAGGTAAGACACACCCAGGGGCCCGGAGCCCTCAGCTTGTGTCCTGGTCCCAGGTTCCATCCCTCGGCTCCCACACCGGACCCCCAGGGCGGCGAGGACAGCGGCTCAGGAAGCGCTCTGTGAATACGGTGCTGGGCATGGTCACCACTTCTTCCAAACAGACTCGCCCAGGCCGTGGTATTGTGTGGAAGAGCCACACTCAAGGGGCCAAAGAGCCACATGTGGATCGAGAGCCGCAGTTTGCCGACCCCGGTCCTGGAACGACTGGTGCACAAGGACTCCTGGGAGGTAGGGTGCTCTGGGGAGGCCTGTGCCCACAGACCAGGAGCGAGCAGGAGCCTCCCAGGAGGACCTGGGCGCCGAGGCTGTAAAGCTCGCATGTCAAACTCAAAGGCTGACATGGGCCAAATGAATGAGGCATGCGGCCCTCGGGCTGCGAGTTTGACATGCTTGCTATAGAGGCATTTTTGGAGTGAGCACTGATGGCAGTGCCACCGACTCAGAGGGGGCTTCCCTGAGCAAAGAGGTGCGCTGGGGCCTCAGGGGGAGCAGCAGCGTGGCCACCGGACCTGTAGCCACTGGGCACTCCCCGTGGGCAATGAACGTGCGTGAGGCTGAGGGTGCAGGTGAGCCCTGAGGACAGAGCTGAAGGAACAATACCTTCCACGTGACACGCTCGGAGAACACCAACCGGGCGCTGAGTGAGCCCCAAAGGAAGGAAAGACACTCGTTTAAAGGGGCAGAGCCTCTTGTGACGCCGTCTGAGGCCAGAGAGGGAGGGGAGGGGGTTCTCTGCCCGGAGACGAAGGTTCCTGACTCCATGCCGCCCCTCACGGCCCGGACGAAGGCACTCCAGTCACCTGGGAACTTGCTAACGACACCGACCCACAGCCAGCCCTGGGCGCCGGTTCAGGGCCCCGGTGAGGCCACAGGCGTCTGTGCTAACAGGCACCGCAGTACTAGGCCCGGGCGGTTTGGAAGCTGGGCGAGGGGCAGCTGCAGAGGCTCCGGCATTGATCAATGCCTCTGACCACAGCCCTCAGTCACTGGAGCTGAGCAAACGCCAGGATGAATTATTGGCTGCGGTTGTGGTTGAGCAGAGCGCAAACGATGACAGGTGACCCCGCGGAGAGGCTGCCGCGCCGGCCCCGGGGTGTGCGGGTCTCCCCGGGCCTGAGGCTCCTCACACCCACGGCCCCCGAGCAGACCCGGCCTGCCCTGCGGCTCACGTGCTGGGCTCGGGGCAGGATGGGAACGGGGGGGGGGGGGGGGGGACGAGGGGGGGCTCTGGTTCAAACGTCATTAAGAATTCCAACACGGTGACAGCAGGGCACTCAGCGGGCGTGGGGCCTCTGAGCACGGGCGCCGTGGGACGCCCCGCTGCACACCGGAGGCTGGCCTGGCAGGGGCTCCCCTCACGGTTCCAACGAGGGGAGTGCCGGCGCTGCCACACCCGGAGGTTTCTGAGCCTCGAAAGCCCCCAAAGACACAGCGGATCTAGCCAAGGACGAACGAACACCTGTGCAGAGCGGCAGCCACTCCGGGGCTGCAGGCACTCAGGGCCCTGCTGGAGCTCTGTCGGGATCCGGAAGGATTGTTAAGCCGAGATGTGACGAGACCCAGTTTGCAATTTTAAAAGATTGCCCGCCTGTGGGAAAGGGAGGGCAACACCTGCGATGCCCCGAGTGGTGGAAATGGAGCAGCAAATTACGATGAGGATTACCATGCAACTGCAAGCAATTATTCAGCACCTACAGTTTACACCCCCCCAATAGTTCCTGCCAAAATGGCCTGCTGCCTTCCTCTCCGCAAGTACCGTAGTTTTGGGACCATTCTATGGCACAGGGGTCTTGCTCCTTAGCTGCCCTGGACCCAATGTGGTCCGACCTTCCACTGCCTCCCCCAGCCCCACCTGGCTGCACTCTCCCTACCCCCCCACCCCCCTCCAACCTGGTTCTCTTTCTTCCCTGCAGATGGTCCTTTCTGGCTCTGACCTTTTCAAGGCTGCTCTTCTCAAAGTTCTAGTTTAGCTACCTTCTCACTCCACACACCTGCCCTGGGTACCAAACCCACACTCACACCGGCTTTAGCCGTTTTCACACAGCTGCCCAGCTTGCCAGCCTGCGTCCCCCTCTGACAGGAAGGAGGGAGGTCTGGTGACTCGATGACGATGCCATGGTTTGTGTTTTTCCCCCTATGCCTTAGCTTGATTCTTTATTCATGCCGCTCCTTCTTCCCAGAATCTCCTTTCCTTATGTACTTTCCGAACTCCTATTCATCCTTCAAGACCCCGTCTAAGCACCCACTCTTCGGTAGGGCCGGCCCTGGGCTTATTCCAGGCTGGACTGGGTGCCTGAATGACCCCTCTCACTCTAGGTACCCCGATATACTTTAACCATTTGATATAAGCCCATCTTCCTCGTATGACTGTGACCTCTCAAGGGCAGGGCTAAATCTCATCACTTTTGTACCCCATTTTCTAGGGCGATTTCTGCCCTAGATTACTGAATATCTGTCAACCAAACCCAGTGCTGAACCTACTCCATGGGAATCCCTGGGCCCTCTTGGACATGAAGTGCTGTTAGCCTCTATTATTCCATTCCTGCCCGTGTGTGCTCCCCAGTTACAGGAGATTCACGGAGTCTCTGGGAGATCCATTAGAGCGTGCACCGCACTGCTCTTTGCTAGGGAGGAAAATAGGTATGATGTAACGAGAATTTGGTGGTGGCAGCGGCCAGGAATTTACAAGGGGGGGAGGGAGGGGGAAGTTTCTGATCTCATATGACAATGCCTGGTGTTGCGGTAAATAAAAAATTAAAAGACAATTCAAGCCCTGGCAGTGTAAGTACTAGTAAGTGGTTAGAGCATCAACCCAATGCACAAAGGGTCATGGGTTTGATTTCCAATCAAGGGCACATACCTGGGTTGCAGTTCGATCCCTGGCCCCAGGGATCAATTGACGTGCCTCTCCCATCTCTCCCTCCCTCCTCCCTCCCACCTCTGTCTCTCTTCCTCCCTCCCTCCCTTTCTCTCCCTCTACCCCTCCCCCCCCATAGAGTAATTGTTCCAAAGGTAATGGTTGAATTAAAATCAAGCTGCCAGAAATTCCAGCTATGGCAGTGGATGTGGCAGTGTGAGGGGCAGCTTTCAGGGAGCCGAGTGCTCAGGCCTCGGCCCGCGGCACAGGGAGGAGAGTCCCTGCTGCGTGTTTGCTTCCGCTGTTCCTGGCCCAGAAAGGAGGGAGGTGGGGAAGGGGCAAACCCAGGCTCCTGTGAGTGACAAGGAGCAGACTGGGCCGAGGGAGCGATCCCTGGGGTTACTGGATGGAAGTCCGCGCTCTGCGTGTCAGTTAGCCGACAGGGACAGGGACAGCTCTGCAGCCGCTGAGTCTCAGTGAAATGACACCCCCGCCCTGTGTCCCTGTGTCTGGTGGGGAACCACCTGCCAGGCACTGGGCAAGGTTCCTTCATGCCCACCACCTTGCCTAACCCTCCCAGCAACTTCTTAAGGTGGGAATAATCCTTTTTACCCAAGACAGGAAGCCGCTCTACCGAGTGGCGCCCAGAGAGGAGTGGGGTGCCCGGGCCCGGGGCCGCTGGAGGAAGAGGCAGGCCATCAGAGGCCAACGACTGCTGCCATTTGACTCAAATGAGGAGTTAATATTCTAAAACCCATCCAGTAACTGGAGGCTTCCAACCAGAGCACCCCCGAATGCCCGGGCACTTTACCGAGCTTCCTTCTGTCCCCCAGGAGCTGCCGCGTCTCTGCAGGGGGGACGGGCTGTCCCGCAGCGAACGGGGCGGCATCCCGCACGCTGCTGCCTGGGCTCCGGCTGAGCAGATGCCGAGGGAGACCTCGTTCCCCGCCTCCCCCGCCAGGCACCTTATTCAATTAACGTGGCTACGAGGCTGCCGGCAGCTCCATGTGAGAGCCCTTCAGTTCCAGAATCCATTTTATTATGTGACAATGGTTGCCAGCACGATTTATTTCCTTTGATGGGATTCTGCCTTTTCCGTGTTAATTTAAATCTGTATTTTCTAGTGCTGATTCCAGGTCTGTGTGAATTTTTAAAATGTGATCATTAATCTTCCGGGCCCCGTGGCCACATACAAGGAGGACGCCTCTGCCCTCTCACACTGTCAGAGGGCAGCGAGGAGGCCACTGCAGTTAGAGACAGGTGTCACTGTCATCTCCAATGCCCCCCCAACACACACACACACACACACACACACACACACACACACCAGCCAAAACAATCTGAGGCGTGAAATCACAGTCCGTGCTGTTTCTGGGGATTGTTGTGTAAAGCTCCTTCTGGGGCAGGAGCTTCCCCTGGTGCCCATGGACCCGAGGGCTCCCCGGACTGAGCCCAGAAGGCCACAGCTCTTCCCATGAGAATACTAAGACATCATGTGCCTTTCACTCTCATCCTCTCACAGTAGACAGGATGTTCCAGAAGCTGTGACATGATGGTGTCCTTGTTCTGAGGTAAGTTTCAGTTTTAACTTCTAATAAGGTAAATATGGATAAACATAACTCCCACGAACACAAATTCCTTGAAAAACTGTAAAATTCCTACAGCAAGAGTTTGAAAGCCACTGATGCAGGACAATGTGTTGAATGTAACTCTGCAAAGGCCGGGTGGTGAAGCCCAAGGCACGTGAGGGTTTTGCTTTTCCCGACTGTTCATTTGCCTAAACCTGTGGCAGGGAGAAAGGCAGAGCAGGAATA